TGTGGGTTAAGGGGCCAGGAGGAGGGACACTGGAGGGGGCCTCGGAGGGGTTACTCTGAAATACTGGAGGGGGAGGGGCTGGTGGTGTGAGTGGGGGCAGCAAGGACCCAGGGAGTGTGGGGGCCGGGCTGCTGTGGGGCGAATCCTGAAGCACCTCCAAGGACCGGCACAGAGACCAGGACCCCGAGGGGAGGTGGACACAGATCAGCCCCTGCCTGGAGCACCCCTGCAGCCCTCCTGCCAGCTCATAGTCACCCAACTCAGCCCAGTGAGGGTGCTGGACAGTCTCCTGTCCCCCTGCACACCGCCACCCTGCCCATCTGACCAGGCCAGCCAGCCCTAGTCATTCTGGTGGTGCCCCAGGCAGCCCCTGCCAAGGGCCAGGTGCTGGGTAGGCTGTGTGATGGCTGTGGTGCCTGCAGCCAGGAAGCGAAGGCTGTAGAGGCGCAGTCCAGAGAGCTGGGGAGGAGGATCCTAGCCCTGTCTTCCCTCCGTGCAGGTCACTCTGGAGCTCCCCCCAGCCCATCAGGCAGCCTGTGGCAGCTTTCAGTGGGCAGCGGCCCGCGGCACCAGCTGATCGGGGCTGTTCTGTCCAGGACCAGCCAGCCCTCACTCACGGGTGTGCACAGGTTTGGCCCTTGAGGGGGACGCTCAGAGGAGGGAACACTGGGTCAGGAAGGAGGCAGCACAGGGGGTCAGCACCCAGGACCCCTGGGCTGACTAGGCCCCTCCAAAGGTCATCCACATTTTAATCAGGGACTATGGAAACTCCCAGGGCCTTCTAGGAAAAAGAATGGTGGTGGGGAAGCCGGCAGGGGGGGCTGGGCTGGGCGTGGGGCGGGTCTGCTGGGTGAGGCCCTAAACAGGCACCCTTTAAATTGCAAATCAATCTCCCAGTCTGCTGACTTTTTTAATATTCTACCTTGTAGAGAAGGGTTTTTAAAAATGGCTTCCAAGTGCACTTGAAAAGCACACAGCACAGGGGGGGCGAGGCTAAAGCAAAGGGGCACCCCTTCTCGCCCTCTCCCACTTAGCTCTGTGGCCCTCACCTGCCCGGGGCTGCAGGCCCTCCCTGCCCTCTGTGCCCCCCACACTCATCCACTGTCCCGTGGGGCTCCCCCTCCCCCAGCCTCGGCCCCTCCCAAAGCCCAGCCAGTCCTCAGGTGCACCTGTCCTTCCACCCCAATGGCTCCCAGGAGCCCCCCTTCCTATCACAACCCTGGGGCCTTTCAGAGGGTCCCCCTCTGTGCATCCCCTGCCCCCACCACGTCACCCCTGCCAACCAGCAGACGTGTGCTGCCCCAGCTGCCGCGTGGGGCCCCTTCTCCCTCTGGGTGGACACCTGCCCACTCAAGCACCCCCCTCCTGGGCACTCTTTCTGGACACCCCATCCACACACAGCCCCCAGTGCACGCACGGACACCCTTCCAGCTATGGTGGAGCCCAGGAGCTGACTCAAACCCTGGCTCCCTGGTCCGTGGTGCTGTCTGTCACCAGGGCCCAGGAAGGGTGGTGCCCAGCAGGCACCTGGGGGCACGCTGGCACCTGTGCTGAGTTGGTGGGCAGCCTCTGGCCAGTCCCCTCCTCCCTGTGCCACCTGGGAAGAGGCCAGCAGGGATCTCTGTTGCCTAGCCTTTCTGCTCCAAAGTCAGCCCCACCCAGCTCTGGAGAGAGGAGGCTGCAAAGGCCTGTGGGTGCAGACAGCAGTCATGGGGAGGGGCCGGCTGACCCTGGAGAGGTTGGCGGTGTTAAGGTGCTTGAGGCCTCCCGGTGGGGTCCCTTACTCCGTAGGGGAGGGCTGCTCGCTGCTGGCACCCTGCCATGCAGAGGACAGGTCTTCACTCTGCTCCCAGGTCTCTCCCAGGTCTGCCTGGGGCCGGACCTCTTGCGCCCCGGGCCTCGATACCCAGCCCTGTACAATTAGGGGCAGAGAGGCGCTGTGAGATCCCGCGGGCCCTCTGGCTCCGCCCGGGCTCCTCTCGGCCGGCTTCCCGCGCCGCGAGGCCGCCGGAGGGCGAGGATGAGCGGCGCCGCGGTGGCCCCACTGTACCCGGCGGCGCCAGGGGTGGCAGCCACGGCGCAGGTCCGGGCCGGGCGGGGCCGCGGGCCGGGCTCGGAGGGGGCGGCGCCCAACGGGCGGGCGGCGTCCGAGTCGTCAAGACAGCCGGGCTGCCGGCCAGTCTCGGGTGCCCAGTCAGGCGCAGCAAGCCGGGCTTAGGGGTCGGGGCAGGCCGGGCTCCGGGCAAGGTCACCGCAACAAGCTGGGCCCTGGGGGCGACCGGTTACGGGTTCTGAGCCGGGCGCTGGACGTGCAAGTGCTCGGGAAAGTCGAAAGCTTTTATTGGACTGAAGGCGCGCGGGAGCAGGGCCCGGGCAGGGGTCCCGCGTCCGCTCGGCGCCTCCACCTCCCACTCCCTCCAGCGGGCCCGGCTGCGGGCTGGGGAACCCAGCTCTCGCTCGGGGAAGGCGGTCTTTTCCATTGTGAACTGGCCGCGTGGCGCCCCGGCCCCTCCGGCCGCGGCGGGGTCGCACGGAGCCCGCTGTTTCCCTGGCGACTCAGGGACACGCAACCGAGACTCGCAGACGGGATCGCCTTTCCTAACCCTGGTGCGTGCCACCCTGGCCAGGCGCACAGGGCAGTCCTGAGCCAGGAGCGCCCTCTCCTCACTCAGGAGGCGCCGAGCGCACGGGGGTCGCCAACTGCCCCCTGCGCGACGAGGGCGAGACTGGGCCGCTGTGGCGCGCCCGCCGGTGTCCCCTCGGCGCCCCGCGTCTCCTCGGCCCGGCCCGACCGGCTTCCTGCTCGCGCCGCCGGGACTTCCTCCCCGCAGTGCCCGGGTGGCCATCCGGGCGCCAGACCCGGAGGCAGGGACCCGGGGGTCCGGGGAGGGAGGGGCCCGGAGCAGGGCCGCGGAGAGGAGAGCAGAGGAGACCCCGGGGTTGGGAGAGGGAGGCGCTCCGGGAAGGGCCCGAGCAGGGCGGGGGAGAGGCCCTGGAGCAGGCCCGAGGGAGTGTCCCCGCCGCCCCCGCTCTGGGTCTCAGGTCCTTTCCGCCGGCGCTTGCGGCCAGCGGCCCGGAGGTCGCGCGCCACCCCGGCCCCATCCCCGGGGCTCCGCAATGCGTCTTCACGCCGAGTTCTGGAGGCGGCGCGGGCTCCG